CAATATTTAATGAAAGTCGTATACTCACAGCCTCGTCGGGGCCATCATAGACGTGATAGGCGTATGCGTTCCATGTCTGGTACGGTGGCATATCGTAGGCGCTTTTCGGTCCGGAAAGTGGGCATTTCAGTGTTGGTATGTGCGGGCGGTTTGGATTTGCCGGATCGTTCCAGTAATACGGCTTCTTGATATTGGTTGCCAGCACGGCTGGCTCATTCATGTCGATCCATATGCCATCAAATTTCAACTACAAATAACCAGTTCTTTTTTCAGAGAGCAGAGTATTTCCAGATTTATTTGCATAAAATCAAAGTTCAAGTGAATAAGGCGGACTGAATCGGAAAGACGACAGTTTTAATTGCTATACTGCGTGTTAAAGAGCCATAAGTTGAGTTGATAAGCCAAGACAAAATACGAAGTAGACCAGAAAAAATAACAAGGAACAACTGTTTTTGCCAAGCGGCCAGGCAAAGCTCGTACGGCATTCTTTCTATATTCCTTAGATTCAGTGATTGCAAAAAGTAATTAAAAATTAGAAGCATTCATTCGCCCTACTGATAAGCCAGTTGCTAGTCCTATGGATGAATCAGTCATCAATTTCTCGAAAAAAGATTTGAAACACTAAAACAATGTGATTCAAACTAATAACGACTCCCAGTCTGAAAATATACTGCATGGATCGTTCCTGGATCAAGATCTTACTGTCTTTCTCTAGTAATTCAGCTGCGCTCACTCAAACGGAGGTGAATTTGAGAATAAACCTTTTCATGAAGCAGGACAAATTCATTGACCCACCAGTTGCCTGTTATTTGCGTGTTGTCGTAGAAATCCGGAAAGGCACACTCATCATCGGGCCAAACCGGTCCTAGCATTATCTGTAATGCTTTCCCTAATTTTAAGATAAATCACCGAAATTATTAAGATAAACTGGACTATTCAAGGAGATTCAATGCTGTAAATGATAATTAGGGTCTACAGCGCACTGGGACTGATAAACTGAGTTTTCATCAGAAATAGTAAACTCAGGACTGCCAGCAGAAATGGTCATCAAACGATGTAGCATTAGTAAAAATAACTGGAAAAGTTGGAAACTGCATTATCTGGAGAATTCCAACTAATCAAGATATGAAAGTGAAGTGCCATTCGTGTTAGTCTACGTCTAATTTTCTTTCAACTACACTATACTGAGATATGAGGTAACTTACTTTCGTATTCTCGGTAAGTGAATAGTTCTTATTCACCTCCGGAACTTCAGCAAACGACTCCCATTCAATGAAACTTGCATTCTGGAAAAAATCATTACATGCTGCAACAACAG